AACGACATCAAGTACCCGCTCGATGTGACGGTCACGTCGGACGGGCACGTGGTGGTCACCGATGGCGGGGACCGCTCCGTGAAGGCCTTTGATTTTGAGGGACGGGGGGTCCTGGCTGTCCGGGAAGGTTTCTGTTTGCCCTGGGGCTTGGATGCCACCCCCGAGAGTGAAGTAATCCTCACCGACTCGGAGGCAGGTGCTCTCTACCGTTTGACGGCCGACTTCAAGAAGGGGAAATTAAAGAAGTGTCAGATGCTCCGGTCTCAGCTCATCAGCCCAAGAGGGATTGCCGTCTCCCAGACCTCGGGCGCTATCGTGGTAATAGAGCACCTGAAAGCTCAAGGACCGCACAACGGCAGCACCCGAGTCAAGATATTCAGTGCAGAGATGGATCTCGTCGGCCAGATGGATAGCTTCGGCCTGAACCTCGTTTTCCCCTCCAAAATATATACTACGGCTGTGGCCTTCGACAAAGAGGGCCGCGTTATAGTGACGGATGTCTGTAGCCAGGCCGTAATATGCTTAGGGAAACCTGAGGAGTTTCCCGTCTTTAACCCTCTAATTAGCCATGGGCTTGCTTATCCTGTAGGACTGACTTACACGACAAACAATTCCCTCGTCGTTTTAGACAGCGGTGATCATTCAGTAAAAATATATAGCTCCACCTGAATGGCTTTAGATGCTTACTGCTATAGGTTCAAGCTGCTTTGGCCATGAAGCAAGCAGAGTTCTGGTGTTAGCAGGCGTGTAAGGAGGAGGCATTTTCTAGGCCTTACTTGAAGTGAAATTGCCCTCTTTGACCGACATGCTGTGCTTCCTGCAAAACTTATGTCGAATCTCTTGCCTGTCTGCGGGGGAAGACCTGGCCGCTTGCAGGCTGCAGTCAACAGTGAATCAACCAAACAAGTAATTTGGCATTTTGAAACTATTCCATACCTTGACAACCAAACGTTTTTGGTACTTCTTGACAAGTAATAACAAGGACATTTGGAATGGAGTAATCAAAGACTGGCACCTGGGAGAGAAAGTGATGCATCGTTTGTTTACATTTCCCAGAACATAGTTTTCATTATTCTTCCTTAAGCATAGCTATGCTCATGAAAGTGACAGAGTGGTTTCTGTTTCCAGGATTTCTGCACGAGAAAGGAGACTGGCTTGACGAAATGATAGGAGAAATGGAAGCTTCAGTTCAGATCCAGCTAAGATCATTGTGATGGAGGAGCTACCACTGATTAGTGAGTTATGTGAATTAGTGCTCAAAGCCTATTTTTTCCATACTGGGGAAACGCACTTCTGGGATCGCTCTTCCTCTGTACTAGTTTATTCCCACCTTTATTAGAGTTGTACTGGAGCACTTGGTCTTCCTGTATAATGCATAAGTCTATGTCTTTACCTAGGCATAATTTGGGGTGTGGTTACCAGCATGAGCAGCTTTCCCTAAAAGCCCCTTGAAGTATTTGTGTTTAGACCACAAATACTTCTGCATATATAAAATTGAGTTGGCTGTGCTGCTAACACAGCTATGCTTGGGAGATTTCCAATACTGCCTGCCTCTGCCTTGTCATCCATATGGTACTTTTGCACACCAAAATCCCAAGATTCAACTGAAAATGGAAATGTTGGTGAGAATAGAGAAAGGGGGACGTAAGCCTCATTTTTTTCCCTAGCTTCCATATGAGGTTTTATGGATTGTGAATACACAGCAGGTTTACTCCAGTTGATATTTCCTTGAAAACAGTTTCACTGTGGACACAAGTTCTGTTGCCTTATTGCACAGTGGAAATTAAGGTATATCTGAATTATTTTGAGAAGGATTTAACAGCCCCACTAGAAGTCACTGCTGCATTTTTAGGCATTTACCTGCCAGTAAAATAATTATTTAGGCGGTTCAGAATT